GGGCTCCCCGACAGTATCCCGGCGCACGTAGAACAACTGTTGTGGACCACAGTTTTCCTAATGCCTTCTTAATACCATAGACTCGAACCTGTGTAGCCGCTTGATAGACTGATGCACTTAGCCAATCCAGAAAGACAATGAACGTGCGAATCAGCTAATCTGTTCAACACTGACGCGTACAAGCGTGTCACGTGCAGCCGTAAACGGACTGCGTATGCAGCTCACGTGGAGCCTTCTAGGCGGGCCAAAAAGGGATACTATGTATGCAACTCATCTGTCAAGGGCGAGTGAAGAACAACCAATGAAATCTGTCCCAACGAAAAACGGTAGTTTCATTGGCAGTTGTGTAATCTTGTCACGTTTGGAGCCGGTTCTCTTCACAACCATGAACGTCACAGCTGTAACTGCCTTTTGCGGTTGATCGGAGGAACAGATCAACTGTGGCAGCAAACTATGAGGCCAATTTGCACGATTCTTTCACTTCTGGCAAATTTGTTGATCATTCCGATTGTGTTGTTCTCTGAATCATTGCTTTAACCAATCGCATGCGCATTTCCTCGTGCCGTTGTGATTCTGGTAGCCGGTAGTTCTGAACGCTAGTTATCTACCACATATGTCCTCCAACTAAAAGTGCAAACGCAACAGCGGACGCCACAGTTACTGTTGATACCGACTTGTAACTTCCAGAGAACCACAATGTTTGCTTACCTCGAAGACTTGCTTTTGGGGAACAAAATAGTCGTATGAGAAGAGATCTGGCGCTAAGCCACCGCGTACAATTCGATGCCCGGTGCTGCTGATATATTTTGCAATGCATGCTGCTAAGCACATGCATGGTGGTTTTCCTGCCTCATTTGCATATGCAGCATCCGAATTTCAGGAAATGGCTTGTTCATGCTGTTCTTCAAATCTTCCGATTATCTTACTCCACCTCGCAGCGGACGCCGAAGTTACTGTTGATACCGGCTGGTAACTTCCAAAGAATCACAATGTTTGCTTAACTCAAAGATTGCTTTTGGGGAACAAACGAGTCGTGTGAGAAGAGACCTGGCGCTAAGTCACTAGGAATGTGCGGAGTACACCAGCAGTGTGACCGGGCTGCAGGTGTGTATCGATCACTACCCGTTAGGTGGAAGCTTCGCCGTCTAACCGCTCACATGTAAGGCTTGCTACCGCTGGTTAGGCTAAGTCAAACGTAGTTGGTTGGAAGATCGAACTGCTTGCCGGTTAAACTTCAGGGTGAGCTCTGGTTGGCCCAAAATATGAACGCAACAGCCAATCATCTTTCAGTATTCATTGAATGGCGTCCAGCATCTAGAAGGCGTTCGAATTTCCAGGATGTTATCGTCGACGCGCTATACAACGGATTTTGACCTGTTTTGGGGTGTTAATGCACTTTGTGTCATCATGGTTGTGTGTGTCATGGCTGGCAACGGATCTAAAAACTGAGTTGTGACACTTCCTTTATGGCTACGCGATTGGTCGGATGCTGATTCGTTAGTGAGAACTGCGTGGTCACGCCATTTCCACATATATCGCATCATGCGTCTTACGTTTCGGCTGTATCACTTGTCCAAACGTACCTGACGGCCGCAGCGGTGTAAGGTTTACCCGGTTGGAAGTTCACATTGCCGGTGACCAGAACAATTGTTAGATATATAGGCTCGTTATAAATGAGCAGATTTAGGCTGTACTCGGTCGTGGGCATTCAATCAAGTAGACACGCTTTCAATCCTTGACTCAACAGGACACCCACCCCGTCAGGGACCTCCGCATCATCAGAGTTACCTAAGCAGCAGTTGAAGGAGCGGCAGGGTAGTTAATTCAATCACAGTGCTTGGGTCCTGTATCCTTCTGATCAAGGCCAGCTTGTTGTCCTGCTTGTTTGAGAGTTCGAACATTAAGGACAGTTAAGCAAACCAAAATTTCGACGTTTGCAAATCGATTCTTAGATGTTTAGGTCTGTTTCTGGAATTTGCAGAAGTTGCTGAGAAGCAAACAGAGCTGGGACATACAGAGGGGTCACACGCTACAGAATAGGACAAGAAGCAGGAATACATAACGCAATATTTTCTCGCCCGGCTTGTTTTATACAATAAGGGAGGCTGCTACACATATTCCGTAGTTACTCGTGGAGACTTGTGGAGCTTGGGTGATTTCCAGTCCTGTGCGCACGCCCGTCTGTGTTGGGCTGAGTTGTATGTCTATTTATTGTGTGCAGTGTGAAAATACGGGCGTCGCTTCATATTTGATGTTCGCACAACACGAATACCACTTGACCTGATGTGGTTGAAGTTCGTAAGCCCGGCGTGTGACGCGATGGTAGCCGCGTAAACAAAAATGGACGGGAAGGTGTAGTGTACATGTTGTGGGCTAAGGTTGCAAGTTAGACAGGAATGGTCACGTGGTTTGTGACGCGTGATCTAGTAAGTGACCGGTACACCCACACCTGGACAGGTGGTCGATTAAGGCTTGACTGCAAGACAGAGCGTGGGTGCCCGCATACCTCCCCACGACAAGTCGAAGTACATTTTCCAATCCTGTACCTGGGGGACCACGCAGTTGGGTTCGTTCAATTTTCGTAAATTTATCAATTGATATGGAAGGTGTGGGTATCGTAACGAAGTTCTCCAGCATGGCTGGATCGGTTGTAAGTGTACACAGACGGTCATGTCGCGATGGGTTCTCTTTGCGACAATCCTGTAGAGCGCGGACTAGTTTCAGTACAGGTGCACTTTTTTCTGTGTTGCTTTCCAGTGTCGTTTAGTTGTCATTATTCTTCAGCCGAAGTTAATAAGGCACACGAACTCTGTGAAAATAAATTAGCCGCTCCAGTGACTACCCAGCACATTTCGCCCCATTCTATCGTTGGACGTTCCCGGATGTCTTTTAAGAACAAAGTAACATTATCAGTTTCCTTGTTCCTCCATTTGAAGGGGCTTAAACCTACACAGTTCTTTCTTACATCCCCTGTGCTAGATAAGAACCGACATCATTTCGCTGTGTTCCTTCACAACTGCAAGATGACCTTGTTACTTCGACGAGAACCAGTGGACACAAAACATCACGAACTGTTTCAGCTCTACCCATCACAGTGGCGCTTCAAGGTTGACGAACTGTGTGATTCCCAATGGCATCATTATTCTCTGGTATTTCAACCTCCACCGGAAGAACTTGTCAAGGGCATATTGAAAGAATCAATTCAGTGGCGGGCGGACGAGCAAGTATGAACGAGCGCTGTAGTTGCTTTTTTGGTTTTTAATTTTCACTACTTGATAGGCTAATCAGTAGGCTAGTTTTTCACAAAATGTTTGACTGCTGGGGCGAGGTGCAACCGACTGGGTAGTTTCCTTTCCAACCGTCTTCTAGACAATGTATTTTCTTCGTAACCTCATAGCTTTCACAAAGCCTTACTAATCCGTTTTTTTAAGGTAGCTGACGAAAGGCGATCGCTTTTAAGGGCACAAAGCAGACTGCAATGCAGTTGGATTCAAATAAAAATTACGACCATTTGTTCTATGTGTAGATGGCTTGATATCTTCCGAAATCTGAACTTGAGGGTTTATACCTGTCAGAAACTATATGTACTCTCTGATTACAACATCGCTTCGCGAAATATCATATCGAAAGCTAATGACCCTCTCTGTAATCATCTGCCACTCGAAGTAATGTTGAAATATGCTTCCTGCATCTTTGTACTGGGTGTGTACCCACCACTGGTGCCAAACCCTGCGGATATGTTGGTGTTCCGGTGTATTAGTGCCAATTTTTGGAACAATCGAGTGGATATCTGCGTTTGGTTGCCTACTAGGCTCACGATTTCTCGACGTCTTTTTGGTTCTCGAACTGCGAATGTGACAATGCAAAAAGTGGACCGGAAACTAAGGCAGAACACCTTTGGGGATTTGAATCGCGGTCTTCAATGCCAAGGCGTTGATTCTGTTTGCCATACCGATCATGGCCTTACGCATATTTAGTGAATACTCTGGTTGCGTTGCTTAGCGTGATTCGAAGTCATGTTACGCTTGGTTGTTCGTACTTTTCGCTGTTTAACTGTTCCAGTTTCTCGTAGCATATAAGATGCAGTGGCTGGCATGGTGCTATGGTTTAACTGGATTCAACCTTCGGCCTTCAATATCGTCTTCATGGAGCACACGTTTTGGCTGCAGATCAGTTCGAGTTAAAATGATTCATCTTTTACCTGTGCAATTTTGAACGTGCCTTCCAAATCTACTGATTTCCAAATTGTTCTAAGCTATTCGACTCTCCACCCGCCTTGTGTTTCTCATCACAGCTGAAGCTGTACGTTGATGGTGACCTCATCGCCGACCCGGAGCTGGTTCAAATAGTCGAAGATCTTCCCTTACGACGGTTACATGAACCGCTGGAAATTACACGCATGTCTGTGGGTGCATGTTGGCATTCGACTCTTGGTCGATTTGTCCAACACTTCTCGGTAAGTAATGGCCAAGGTCTTCTCAAATCGTTTGTTCCCTGTGTTACTTAAGGGTAACCATTCCGAAATACTGCTCTACCTGAAGGGCGAAATAGAGTGCATATAACTCAGCTTGAGGCTTCCTAAAAAAATCCCGTAATATCCCGTGATCCTGTTGTAAGGGATGTAAGACTACATTGCTGAATCGCGAACGATTGAATTCATGCTTGGTAAGTGTGAAAAGGATTTTCAGGTGACTAAATCGACCGAGGTATCCTTGTAGGCTGAGTCTGTAATTCATCAACCGAAATAACGTCCTATCGATTGACATTTTATCTTCCCTGTTCACTCAACTGCTTTACCAGTGCATGTTGTGTCTCAAGGTTACTTACGGATCCCCAAAGATTGACATTCCCGTTCCGTGAAAGGATACCGCTGTCATGGAGAGTCTGCGATAACGTTCCCCCGGACGTGGACCTATTGTGCTATCCACTCAAAAGGGCCTCAAATCATGCCACTTGCGCGCGGTATCTTGGGCAGGTCTAATGACTTCTATCTCCGAGTTCGGGTTTAAACCGCATATAGTGATTAGAGCGCAAATTTACTGACCGGAAGGTCCGTGGTTCGAGCCCGACCTCTGCCTCTCGACTTCCCCTGTCTAGGTTTGAGCAACCTGGCAGTATCCCAGCCCTCGCGCTTCCTTCTTGTGGCATGGCAGTTAGGCACAGAAAGGGTGTTACTGCTGAACGATTTTTTAAGGGAACCCGAACGGAGTATTCTAAAGATGTCTCATGGGGAAGATAAAACAGAAGCACATTATGTCTCCATATGTACGCTCGTTTCACATCGTCCCTCGTCCTTGTACCTGGGCAAACGGTGTACCTTTGTAGTCCTGGTTACTACTTAAACCTGGTTCATTCCACCCACAGACCACCTGGCTCAGTTGACCTCGAGATAACTCAGTGGCCACGACGCAAACTTACTGACCTGCTGGTCCATGGTCGGGGCCCAACCTCTGCGTCTCAACTGCTCCTGTCTAGGCTTGGCTACCCTGGCACTATACCTCAGCCCGCTTCCGGGTGGCATGGCAGCTCGGCACCGAAAGGATGTTACAGCTGATCGGTCAGGCATCTTAAGCTATGTGACATACTATAGCTCATAGATTTATTTTTTCCAAGAAGGGCGGTGGTTGGCTCTCGAAGAGTGAGTAGTTTCATCCGAGAAAATCAGTCGCCTTTTTTACGGCTTTCATGCAGTGTTGCTGCAAAACTCATCGGGCATGGATGGAGTGTCCAGCATTAAGATTCAACGATAAAACACTATAAGTGATGGTTTCAACAGTGACTTGAATGAAACGTATGTTTGAATGCAGACGCGAACGTGGAAACCTCGAAGTTGGCGAAATTCGACATGGCGAATAGGATTGAAGGATGTCACCAAACGCTTGGACGCTGTTGGTGCTATTGCCCTTCCTGGATGGCGTCCACATGACCCCCCCCCTTTTTGCTTGGTCGGATACACCAAACAGTATGGTGGCTAAGCGATGTCAGTGCGCTCATGCCGTCAGTTTCTGTTCAGGGTGTCTGACTGAGTGTCGGAGATGTAAGCACTTCGGATGTTTGGTGTAGGCCGGCCCTAGGCTCCCTTCCTGTCCTATTTTTCTTCTTTCTATTAGATAGCTTTATTCAAATAAATTGACATGGCTGTACGGCCGTGAACCGCTGGCCGGCGTCCTTATCCGGTGTTCTCGTCAGTCATGACGAATGCAAATTCATCAGAGCAACCATACTCCTTGTGTGTCATGGAGCGGGCGAGATGGCCCAAGTGGTTAGTGCGCGAATTTCCTAACCGGAAGTTACGAACCCGACCTCTACATCTGGACTTCCCTGTTTTTGGGCTTAGGCAGTATCCGAGTCCTCGTGCTTTCCTCTGGTGGCGTGGCAAGTAGGCACCGAAAGGGTACTACAACTGGACGTGCTTGTCATGGAACTACCTCATACGGCCTTTGTCCTGTGAGCCACGTCCACTCTACAGCAGGTCGAATTTTTTCCCGTGTTCTCTGCTTGTTTTTGTTGGAAAGGATTGCTTCCCCCTAAAAATACGTTATCTTGTTTCAATGATTTGTTTGATATCCTTCGTCCACTTTGCAACATGATTCCTTCAAGAGGTGTAAACAATGTTGTGCTTACAGGAAGAGAGAGAGGGGGACTGGACGCTTTAGATTAAGTGTTCTTGTTGCGAGCAATTCGCCTCAGTATGCAATCATCGTACTTCATCTATCCATGTCCGGAACGGTTGTGATGTGCAACACCGGATCTCACTCACGGTCTATCGTCAAAACATTGGTGTATCAGTAGGATTAATTGTACACAGTCTTCGTGATTGTTGGGTTTGTATAACAACCCTTCAACGCCTCCTTTCCAGGGTCAATTGGCAGGCCTCACTCTATCCCGAGGCATCGCGGAACCGGATGTTGTACTCCAGTGTATTGTCAACTGCAACCCACGTTTACACATGATGCACCCTGCAGCCGGTCACGTGAAGCTCACCGATTTTCCCGCACTTCGTCAGTCCCAACTCGACAACTTGATCATTGAAGTAAATCAAGTGGCCGAACTTGGTGAAACTCTCCGCAAGACTGTGTTTTTCACACCTCGCCTTTGGCACAGACCGACCGAGCGACCTGAGCCGACTGGTATTCATATCAATACGGTGATACGGTATGTTCGCTGCCCCTCATGTCCCGGATTTCGGACTACAGTCTTGAAACTCACTGTAATAATGATCTCAACGACCGAATTGGCTAGTAACTTTTGTGGACTTCACAGAGAATGAATCTCCTGGTTGCTCGCATTTCACAGTATAGTTTACTAGTACATTGAAATTCGAAGTGAGCAACAACGTGTCACCCACATAAGGTGGACCAAGCCGATCAGTTGCCAAACATCTGTTGTACTCCGATCATTGTATCTCAAGCATTCATCCCTCTAACCCGTTTTTTTACTCTACAGATAAATTTGTAGCGTCTGTATAGACAGATGTAGGCACAATATCGGTATGCGTCTTGCTCAACTATCTAGAAAGCTCTGATTTCCTTGTGCCAATCCGGAAGGTCCGTGCTTCGAACCCGACCCGCTCTGCCTCTCGACTTCCCCTGTCTAGGCTTGGGCAACCAGGCAGTGTCCCATCCCTCGTGCCTCCTTCGTGTGGCATGGCAGCTAGGCACCGAAAGGGTGCTACAGCTGATTGATTTATCTTATATTTTATTTTTTATTTTGTGCCAATCTCCAGCTACAATGGAGGATGCCCGAATGTGAGCATCTCTGACCACACCGTGCAGATAGTTCGTCCCAAAATGAGCAAATCAGTCATAGCTACACTGATATCCACGCCACTTCGGGAAAATCTCTCTCTGCATGGCGATGCCATTTCGACCAAATTGTCTCCGGACGTTTCACATACGCTCGTCCTCAATGCGTTTGTGCAACCACAGCCGACGGAGGTCTCACCTAGTGACCTTTGGCATGGAGTTGCAATATTCCCGTCCGTTGGCCTATGGTGGAAACGGATTGGGTCGGCGAATGTTACTTGGGAATTGGATACGGGTGAGTTGTGCTCCGCTGTGTCATCATGGTGTGTCTGCTCATTCTACATTTGCATAAGGATGGCTAAACAACAGTGTAGGTTCCACCGTGATGTCGGTACACTGGGGTATTGAAAAGACACAGCCAGTTGTTCCGCGCAGTTTGCTTCTTCGCCACCCAGTGCAATCCTCTGGAGGGGGGGGGGTTCGTTTTAAGCTACTCTAAACAATTCTTAGGGGCCAAGCTAGGATAGCAGCTTATCGGATAAACTGGGCCTAACATGGTGTGTCATAGGGATAGCTTAACTTGTGAAATAATCTGACGTGGGCAACCTTCTTCAACGAGTCAGCACCCACGAGTGATTGTTGACTTTGAACTTTCCACGCTTAAAACAATCTTTGTTTAACAGGAACACAACCCGTCCTCAGACGAATGAATACAAGTGCTTGGTGAAACCTCTGGTTTTCTTGATACTTAGATGTATATTCATAAGTGTCCGATTCAGTACTACTAGGGAAGACCTTGATCAACGAACTGTTGCATGTTTTTTTTCGTATTTGCCTGGCAAGTAATAGGGGGGCATTCAAAAGGCTTCATCTTGTCAGATTGATGAGTAGTTGCCGTCTTACGGTAACCGTTGAATAGCTGTGTATCGCAAACGTGATCCGAAGATCTGGGGATGCGTACCGGTAAACTTGGAGGTGAGTGGTTCAAGGGTTTTTCTTGGGGAAAAAACACTCTCTGTATTAGCTTATCATCAACAAACAAGTGGTTGAATGGATTTCAAAAGGATATATCAACCCCGTATTTCCATCAGAAGAAGGGACGGAAATACGGAGATGTTTTAAAGAGAAGCATTCGCCCACAAGGATAAGTCTTTTTTCATTCCACTGGGGCGAGATGGCTAAGGTGGTTAGAGCGCGAATTTACTGACCGGAAGGTCTATGGTTCGAACCCGACCTCTGCCTCTCGACTTCTTCTGTCGGCTTGAGCAACCTGGCGATATCTGATCGTTGAGATTCGTCTGTTTTTTGTATAAATTTTCGTATTAAGGAACTTTACAAACTATCAACTATATTGATAAAATTATCGATCCTTTAGGAAGACGTTTTCGCACTTGACCAACCTATTTTGTCATTTTCTTTTCGAGTCGATTTCACTCTCGTCTGTTGAATTAGATTCGACCAAGTGCTCATTCACTCTCTGAACTTTCCAGATGGTGTCGTATCGTTCTGCGACATCGAGATTTGTCCATCACCATCTGCAGGCGAATTGGAGTCCGAGGAGAAACTCGCTGTCAATCAGCTGTCCGGATTACATCAAGAGATTTTCCCTTCCGGCCTTCGTCTCACTGGTCCGGCCCAAGTGGATAATTTTGTCACAGCACTCCGGCATGTGCACTGGTTTCATCTTTCACCGAGTCCGGGGTTGTCTAGCCGCTGTTTCCAGGTCTACTGTGTCGCACAATTTCAATCTACCGATGTTACCGGATCGACAAATCAATTGCGGATTCAGAGTAACACACTCACATCACGGGTAGGTAGTGATGAACCTGGTAGTAGTTGGGCCGTTCGTTCTGGTGGACTGTTTTGGTTATTGAGCGTGCCGAAGAAAACCAGCTTGCATTTGCTTCCACGTCGTTCAGTTCCCGTGTTTTGAGTCCCATCACTTTCGTTACTGGGAGCATGTTGTTGCAGTCTGTGAGGTCAGCTGAGGTGGTTCAGACTCCTGATGTCTTAAGTGAAAGTGGACAACTGTGTAGATTCTGGCGTGAATTGAAACTTCGCTTTGGGATTGAAGGCCTTGTGTGCCGCAATGCCAAGGAGTGGTGTGCTGCTGTCTCAGCATTGTAGAGTTTTATCACTAGTGAATGTCCTACTTGCTTCTGGGCAGATTCAAACCCATAGTCTTCCGCCAGGAGCAGTTTAACCCCATGCCATTCAATCACTAGTGGTTTTTCAACCGATGCTACTAATGAGTTGCTGATCCACTGAGGTTTCCGCGCGTGGGTTCGAACCCCATCCCCGTCGCCAGTATTGTAAGTTCGAAGTAACTTAGAGAACACGTATTTAATGGCACGAGTGGGTGTATTGTGTATATGCAACCCCAAATGGACCCGCCTTTTGAAGTTAAGTACACAACTCGGATCACAATCCTCTGGTGTACTGAAGGATACACACGCACACGTACAAGCCGTCGGGCACATAACCAATCAGCCAATAGAATCACACACCAGTTCGATGATGAATTGATGAGCAGACACGCACGCGTACAAACCCCTGATACATCCAAGCGGCTACCACAATAAACCAGTATATAACAAATGTGCGGTTTGTCTACACCTAACACACCACTCATGAGGTTGCTGAAAACCATTCGACAGCCCGCGAGTAGTTTCGCCTTTTGATTTCGGGTTCACCAAGTGGACGCAGTCCCCAAGTTTCACTTGAAGTTATGAGATTTGCAGCATTCCACAACAGACAAACTCCACTTGCCGATATCAACTGAATTTTAGAAACCTACCTAACTGATAACTTTTGGTTTATGCACAACTCATAAGGTTGCTGGAAACTCCTCGACAGCCCACGACCGGTTTCGCTCTTCTTGGGGCTCATCAGTTAGGCGCAGTCCCTGCGTTTTCATCAGCCTTATGTTCTACCTGAAACCGAATTGCATTAGCGAATATACACTAATTTGCAAACTAATTTAGTTTTTCGAGAGACTCACCTGGAACCCAGCTGAATCTCTCGGTTTTGATGTTTCCAGGTGACTGAATGTGCTGCATCGGGCCGCCTCGTGTTTCAGTCGCTACGACATTCGAGATATCGCGATACATGTATATTTTGTAATGCACTACTCATAAGGTTGCTGAAAATTCGTCAACAGCGCACGACTGGCTTCGCCCTTCTTGGGGCTCATCAGGCAGGCGCAGTCCTCGGGTTTCCGTCAACCTCATGCTCCACTTGAAACCAAATTGCACGAAATTAGCTTAGCACGAAATTGGTTTAACTTGAAAACAATAGGCCTGACTTCTGTGAATGAATTCTCGGGGTAGCCGGATCTCAGAAGTTACTTCTGGTCGTTGCGACGATTGGCGTTTATATGTCTGAGGTTGCGACCAAAATTTTACTCTCTAAGTCCTGGAAGTATATCCCTGAATCTCAGGCGACGTATGCATCAGGCTACACTGCGACTATTTTGTTGTGCGGCTGTGAGACTTGGTCTATTCGAGCAGTGAAACTGAAGCGTCTTCAGGTGTTCGACAATCGTTGTCTCAGAACCATAGCTCGTGTGAGTTGGTGTCGGCGAATCCGTAACGAGGCAATTAGAAGGCGAGTTTTCGGTTGCGCAACGGGAACTTCAATTGAAGAATGTATCCATCACCAGAGGCTACATTGGTCGGGACATGTGTTGCGTATACCCAGTCATCGTTTGCCAAAGAAAGTGCTGTCTTCCATGTCCAACACAAAGTGGCGTAAACAGAGTGTTATGAAGGAGAACTTGGCAGGGAGTATGAAGGAGATCACGAAACGCTTGGGTGCTCTCGGTGCTACTCGCCTTCCAGGATGGGGACCGCGTGATCCTCACTGCGCCTGGTTGAAGGCGCTGCAACATGTGGCTGCTAACCGAGGTCAGTTGGGTTCTTGTTGTCAGTTTCTATCGAGATTGCCTGAGTGAATGTCTGGAGATGTAGGCACATCGGAATGATTGCAATAAGCTAACGATATGTCTCTTCTCCGTCTGCTTTTACTCCTACACAGTAAGGCTTTCAATTAAATCATGGTTGTACGGCAGCGAAGCATCACTGTTGAGCTCCAATGCCGTGGTGTCCCTGGAAGGTTTTTTATACCCAGATGTTCAAATCGTTGCTGGTGAGAACCTTTTTCATATGGCGTACGCCTTCGTCTGTCTAAACAAAGCACTGTTGAATAAAGTGATCACGTCTTTTGGCTTGCACCTTCAATGTGCAAAGTCCTGCTTCAGAACGTACAGTGTCCGGGCCCGACCGTTGCATTTCTCGAAGACATTTCTAGTCGTACTGGTTCTGACGGAAGTATACCTGCTTAAGCCAGCGCACGAATCTAACAGGACCGTATCACGTTTGTCAATTCGAGTCATTTGTTTCGTCATAAACCCATTCGGTCTCAAACGTCGCGTGTGTGAGGCTACATTAAAGAATCTATTGTTTTAAGACATGGCCTCTGCGGACAGATGATGTGTGCCATCCCCAGATTTTGAGCCATCGATGTCTTATAAACGTTGCTGCGGTCGGATAACGTCAACGAATCCCTAACGGGTTAATTAGAACACGGGTATTTGGTTGCGCAGCAGGTACTTTAGTCGACATCCAGCGTCACCACGTGTGGTGGGTTGGCCTTGTGCTACGCATTTTGAAACGCCGTCTACCAAGGCGTTGTTCTGGGTGACCCTTCACAGCGCTTGTTTACAGTCAGCAATCTAGTAAGTAGTTTCCTTTATGAAAAACCGATACTTTAAATTTCTGGGACGCGGATTCTCCATACAAACTTAAATCCAGGTTGTAGTTGAGTGAATCCATTTCGTCTTTTGCGAATACTTTGGTTGCATGTGTCAGTCTCCTATCGTGTTCAAGAACGCGTTTAACATCTCAGTGTTTAAAGCGCGAACTTACCGAACGCATGGTTCAAGTCCAATCTTAGCATCTGGACTGCTCCTAACTGGGCTTTGGCAACCCCTAGTACCTCAACCCTTGTGCTGGGTGGGTGACAGCTAAGCACCAGAAGGGTGCTACTGTTGCCCGATTATTATTCCTCCTATTATTATAGCTTATTTCAGCATACCAGCCTCGCCTGATTGATGGCCTCACTTATAGAATCGTTCGAAGATTCAGCAACGCCCCGCGAGCATTCCTAGGGTTTAATCGTGAAGCATTAAATCATGGTTGTACGGCAGCGAAGCGTCACTGTCGAGCTCCAATGCCGTGGTGTCCCTGGAAGGTTTTTTATACCCATATGTTCAAATCGTTGCTGGTGAGAACGTTTTTCATAACGTTTTGTCACCGTACGAGGATACGTCATCAGTGCGCATTTCGGTGGGTACTTCTTCCTTGCCTGCGTCCGTTTATATAGCATTTGAAGGCTATCTGTTATCTTCTGACGTGATTGGCTACTTGAAGTGTTGGTGAATCTATTGGTCCGTTCATGATCTTTTTTACCTTGTGGCTTGCGTTCCTTTGTGTTGATTGGTTATCCCAACGCATTCTATTTTTAGTCGCTTGTTCTCTGGCCTTGATTTGCGTTGCGTTGTGGTCTGACGTTCTCGAGTTTGATTGGTTGCTTGTGTCGCCTATCTCCTCCACCGTGGCGGTTAGTGTCCCTGCGTCTGCCGGTCGATTTGGTGCTCTGGTTGGGCGCCCCGTCCAATCCAATTGATGTGTCCGTTTGAATGGTGTTTTCTTGCTTCTCTTATGAGTTCATCGTCTTGTTAGTTTTGCAGCTATAAGCTCTGTGGTTCTGGCGTTCTCTTGCTCCTAGTGGCTGGTAAATGGGATCAATTTCGATGTTTCTAATGATGGCTTTATTCAGAACCTACCAAACTACGATTTGTGAGCAGAAGAGCTAGGAGGACGGTCTGAGGGTAACCATTTGTTGTTCATACTATCACTAGCCCCTGCTATCTTTGGTATGAGAACATCCTACCGTTTGTGTGTGCAGTGCTAACTTCAAACGTGTCACACTACCTTTCTCCTGTTAGTAGTACGTTTTGACCGATCAAGTGATGAGATGCATTTTTCCGGCCTTTTGGTTTTCCAGTTCTCTATTCATTCGCCCAAAGGACCAGCCGTTCCGGAACCTGCAACTGTCCAACAGCACCGAACATCGTTCCATGAACCCCGAACTCTGCGCTCTCTGAGCAAACGTGAACTATCCAAGCCACTAGGATCGCCTAATACTTGGAGCTACCAGCAACAGGTACAAGAATTAAAGATATACCTCTGTGTTGTTTGTTTCATCCGATTTTCCTTTGGGCCCCTACTTGTAGTCACATTGCAGTCTGTATTGATTTTTTTTCCGTTCCTCTAGCCAGACTCTTCTTGACGCTCATGGGGGTGTTCCTATTGATTTCACTGAGAAAGCCAGTCCCGCTGGTATGGCATTACTGTGAGGAGTAAACTGAGTTTTCGCTTTTGCTTAGACCTGCTGGGGAATTGCAGTCGTCCTCGATTTCTGTCTTGTCTTGGTCAGCTGCGGTTCTTGCAGATTTGAATGTGGTTTGAGTATTTCAGAGTTGCCTAGACAACCAATCATCACCTCCAGCTGGAACGCGCAATTTTTCGGCGAATCTTTATGGCATCAGGCCCTCATCGAGGGTTCCACTCACGAGTAACCGGTAAATGTTACCAAATTTATGATTATTCGTTTCGCGAGTTAACTACACAGCTGATCAGTCGCTCATCGTCATCATTGTCAGCTGTAATGAACGCGTACTTGTCGTACAGTGGTTGTAGCTGTCGCAGTTTCGTTCACCGATCATTTGGTGAGGTGGGGTAGGTAGCTGCGTATTGCAGGTGGGAACTGATAAATTGATGCATAAATCTAGCACTGTCAGTGGGCTGTCAGGTGAGGGGATTGGAACAGGAGCTATGCATTGAAAGCAATAGCTTGGATGCACGAGCGCCATTGAGGGCGCGACTGGAACTTGTCTGACAATGTCTCGAACCATTGATGTGGCTTGTCTCGGGGTCCCCAT